CCTATACAAGGGTCATACTTCAAACACAGCATCGCCGAAGTCAGCTTGAACAAGTACGACACTTGAATAGGCATTATTGTAGGCATCTGAGTGGTATCTGCGGCATTGGTCAATCAGTCATTAACGACAAAATCAAGCGTCTTACGAAGCTCATCATGAAAGACATTCTGACTCGTATAGACATGGCTGAAACAGACAGTGACACCGACGCAGAGGATACTGGTAATGCTGATGATGAATTGAGTGATCTAGAATGATCCCAATCAGCTTTAAGATGTCATGTCGTCAGATGCAATGTGTAAAACCTAAAGATAATTTGTAGACCCACAACAGAATTGGTCGCCATAGCCAGTTACAGAGAGAGATCAGAACTTGTCCACATACTGAAAACTGATCAGAAATCACTAAAGTTGAAACGGCATATAAGCCCCTCGACATCTAAAAACCAACATTAAAGAAACATGTCAGTCTTACAGAGACCAGGTGAGTTTGGACCCCCGGGACATGTATGAATACGAGTATTTCTTTCAGTTTGTACAATAAAATTTGAATTGAAAAGATTATTGCACATATGTTGTCATTTCTGTAACAGAGAGTATTTCGCCCCCATTTATGCTAAAAGAGAAAGCAGAAGTCATAGTGCAGATTACACATTCAGCCGGTCACTCTGTCAAGTAACACCCAGTCTACCTTTTGTGACGTAGCAACACCAGTTTCCGTAGACCTTTTTAAAGAAAAGCTAACCTGTCCTAGAACGAGAACGTGTTGCCCTAAAGAGCCGACACGTGTTGATACACTGCTCATTGTCCCCCGCCAGGTGTCTGTTTGCTTCACCCATTCAACTATGTCTCAACATACACGCTACCCCAAAATATAATTTTAATCGTTTGAACGGAGTGAAATAGAATGATATTGATTTCTCTTTGCTGCGAACCATATACAAAGGGGAGGTAATTGGTATTGCAGAGGCCGCTTGTTGGGAGTATATAAGTGACGTCATAGCGCAGGTATTCCTTCTCGCCTGCAGTCCACAGGCCCTCGTGTTTTTGCAAGGATTAAAGATTGTTTATAAAATATATAGAAATTTGAGATGACCCCCGACTCGAAATGCTTCACAGTACAATACATAATGACAAGGCCGGACACTTCGATGCATTTTATACTTTCATCGACTGCTTGACATGGAAATGTAAAAATGTTTTTTTTAGCAATGGCTTCACCAAAGAAAGGATCAGTTGTAAATGTCTCCTTAACAAGCATCAACCAACCAGAGGGCTTGTTTCGACCACACCCCGTTGTGTGCGGACATATCGTCATCCATTTGTGTCAAGATCGTTTAGTTGAGGGTTAAAATCGGGTTTCCATCGACTTGCAGAAATAACAATAAAGAATTGGTAGGTGTCATGAATGGTGCTCGATGGTCCAATCATCCATGATTATGTTTACATTAAGATTTAACCGATTGCATGCGATGGTAGTGTAGCGATCGGCAAAGCAGGCGGGTGGGGTGCACCGAAATTTCCGGCCTTGTCATCATGTATTGTAATGTGAAGCTTTTTTTAGTCGGGGGTCATCTCAAACACAATATATATTTTTTCATCTTTAATCCTCACAAAGACACGAGGGCCTGTGCTGCAGTCTAGTTCTCTTCGCCTGTTCTGAACAAGTATAAACTTGAAATGGCTACCTCACCCGACATTGGCGAGAAATCCGACAGTATCCTGTCTCAGGTGGTCACACGAGACGTAATTGTTAAAGCTGTCGACTCAAGGCTTGCAGGTTTGCAAGAAAGCTGAAACAAAACCTCCTTAGAGTTCGTTTTCACAAGGTGTCCGCTATAAGCAAAAATCTTCAGTAACCCATGTTTATCGTAACAGGCGACTAACGGGATCGGTTGGTCAGGCTCGTTGAATTGGTTGATGCATGTCATCGGTTCCCAATTGCGCAGATCGATGTTCATGCTGTTGATCCCTGGATTGTCTGGTCCAGATCCGATTATTTACAGAACGACGCCATACAGCTGGAATATTGCTGAGTGCGGCGTAAAACTAAACTCACTCACTCACTCACTAACACCCATTATGCTTTAACTAACTGTTATTTATAGACTCGAAATCATTGGGTCAGCGTGACCTGCTATTTCTACGCTTTCCTGGAATTGTCAGTGACTGTCTGAGTTGCCGGGGTTGAAACTTTATTGAATCAGTGTTGCCTGTTTCCAGTGGGTGTATTCTACAATTGTGGAAATTGCTCTGGGACCTTGTTGCTCCCTCTTGGATTTTGTGATGAACTAGACATACTTCGCCCACTGTGAGTATATCTTAATGCACTGCAACCATAACGCTCTCACATTCATCTGATGTTGAAAGGGGATAGGGAGTCAGACTGTTGATATCCATGGATTTCTGCCAAGAACCAGAGACACAAAACAATATAATAGGTACGACCGAAAAATCACTAATATTATAAATATTTTTCAACAGTAAACATGAGCAGTGCACGGTTCTTCGACTAAATACTGATCCGCGGGTCGGTGCGCTATCAGAAGATGGCCGTTATATACATAGAGCCTCGCAGTCAATAACCTAGACTAAGGCTTAGTCTCTGAATATATATAACTTTGATAGTAACAAACAAGCCCATTTCAATTGAAAAGGAGCCCTAGGGAGACCAGAGATTCAGAACCTGAGGAAATCAAGACTTGCTTTATTTAGGGCTTTAGCACTGCAGAGAGGGCTTGGCAGTAGGGAAAATAATGTGGTTCAGGGACTTTGAGACAGACTATCGTAGCGCTAGCGACAGCTTTCTGAAACGGGGCCCAGCTTCACATCGAATCAATCTGAGACACGACGATAGCAATCACGTGACCGGCCAATGCGCATGATCACCATCAAGGTTCCCCAGAGGGGATTCCCCGTTGGACTTTCCAGCTCTGAAATTTAATAAAACTGTGTATTGTAGACTTTACAGCATCGTTGATATATCTGTGGCCAACCCTTGTCAGGAAAGGTGAGTATGGTAGCATTATCATCGGCGGTCGTCATCACTGCACCGTGACATATGTATGCTTGTGTGATTTATGTATCTGCAGACAACTTTCATGTGTTTTGTACAGAGTTGCAATGTCATAAGGGATCGTTCAAAATTTATGGCGTGGAGGGTGGGGGTGAGATTGCTGATTAACGGAGTGTTACCCATTTTGTTCTGGGGAGGTAGGGCGTCATCAGTAGGTACACCTGAAGTAAGGGGGTCGTCACTTACTTTGCACATGATTTTTGTTTTGGAGTTTTTTGTTGTTGTTTTTTTCTTGTTGCTTTGTTTTGTTGTTTGTTTTGTTTTTTTTTTGTTTTTGTTTTTTTTTTTTGGGGGTGTCTTTTTTCTTTGGGTGTGTGTGGGGGGGGGGGGGGTGTTTGTCATTCACATTGTACATGCTCCTCCATAAAATCCTCATCATTTCCCCACTCAACTACGTCAATCCAGGCACCACATGCAAGTTAGCAAAGCATTTTCAGTGAATTCTTGTACCTCACGGGGTTGAACCTGGGGAAATCTAGACTTGCTTCGTTTAGGGCTTTAGCACTACAGGGAAGGCTAGGCTGTAGGGAAAATAATGTGGTTCAGGGATTGTGAGACAGACTATCAATAACCATATCCAACCGGATTCCCGCTTGTAATAACATCTGAAATGTAACCACGAAGCCATTCAACTGACTGCCCTCATGCTTAAACTGTTATTGTGGTCACTGGGGCAACGTGACCTGCTATTCATTTTCTACGAAGCCCCCGTTTTCAGTGAGTGACTGTGTTGTCGCTAGAGTTCAACTTAGTTTACAGTGGTATATACGACAATTGTGTAAACTGCCCTATTTGCCCATCTTTGATCTGGTAATGAAGGTGGCATACAGCTGTATCTGCCCACTGTGGCCGTGGGACAAAGGTTCACAGCTACTGAAGCTGGGCTAAATTTAGAACTCTGCAAGGGAGATTACTGAGTCTCGTGATGATAGGTTCTGTAATATAGCTATATATGCTATTTTACATTTATATTACATGGCGATTTTTATGATAGACATGTATTGTAGGCGATTATAGTAAAACTATGTACTCTTTTTATAGATATTAGTATGCTATAACATATAGAGGCTGTATCTCTGTAATATTTAGAGACCATTATGCATTTTATGGAGGTTTTATCATAGATAAGTAATAATCTGGAGATTTATCTATATTTATGTCATATTTGGATATCAGGTAATTGAACAGAACATTTGGATATTATAGATGTCTAATTTAAGACAATGTATAATGTAGTTTTCAAACATCTAGAATGACTATTATATACATGTACCCATGGAAACGTATAAGGGAACACATGAAAGTACAAGTGTTCCTTTATTCTCTTCCATGATTCTTCACAAGCTTTGTATTGCACTGTGGGTGAAATTCTGGAAAAGAATAAAGAATCACTTGTACTTTCATGTGTTCTCTTATTCGTTTCCATAATGTTTGAACATTATGTAGAGGCTACATCGTATATTGGCAGGATTATCTGAAACGTGGCTGTTATTTGTGTTACTGTTTTAAGTAATTTTGGTAGTCTTCTTTATTGTTTTCATGTTTCCTTAATAAAAAAATAATTCGAATGAAGTAACTACTTTACACTTGTTTATAAGTATTGTAGCAGAATGTCACAGAAATCAAATCACATATTACTTCACGCAAGTTCTGTCAAGTATATTTATCTTGTTAATGGTTTAAATGTCCTGAATATAGTTGTAAGAAATGTAAATATGCTAATACAGGCATCAAAGTACTTAGAAGTTTATATCAATCCACCTTTATTTAATATTTCTTGTTTACCGTTATCCATATATATTAGAAACTGTCATTTGTAAGGCCAAATTATCTAATATTTTAACTAACCTGTCCTATCAATAATGATAATGTTACAAATAACAGCATGATTAGTTGTTCTAATACATCATGTCTGGTATTTCTAGGTAGGTACCACCTCCTTACTTAAAGGTACACCAGAGATGGCAGACCCAGAAGCTGTCACAGAGGTGGAAGCCAGCAGGCATGAAGGTGGTCAGGTAGGAAACATTCGTAGATAAATCATGGATACGAATGATGCATTAACGAAGATCGTTTATTTCGACCATATTGTAAACAATCAACAAACAATCAACAAAAACTTGAGAGAAACATACGTGATAAGATAAAGAATTTGTAATTACTGTATGTGAATTTGGGGTATTTAGTTTGGGCTTTTAGTGAAATAAATTTTATATCTATTTCCTTCAGAGTCATACCGTAACGGATCGTGATGTATCACATGACATGGTCATGCCAGTCAGTGGGGAGGTCGCACTAAATGGGGCAACAGCTGGAGCACATGGTCGAGTAGCATCAATACAAACCTTTGGCCCACCGGAAATCAACGACCCAGGTTAGTTAGTTACAGGTGTCAGTGCTTATTTCGACAAGAAACTTAAGTACGTTAACTCACAAGCTGCACTTATTTCTAAATATGCTTGGTTGGTTGGTTGTTTAACGCCACACTCAACAGTATTCCAGCTATATGGTGGCGGTCTGTAATTAAACCGAGTCTGGACCAGACAATCCAGTGATCAACAACATGAGGATCGATCTACGATACTGGGATGCGATGACATGACTGTGTCAACCAAGTCTGAGAGCCTGACCACCCGATCCCGTTAGTCGCCTCTTACGACAAGCATGGGTTGCTGAAGACCAATACTAACCCGGATCTTCACGGGTCCAAATAAGCAGTGTAAACCCAGATAACAAGTTCACATTGTCACAACGTTTTGCTTTCGTCGTTACGTTATGCTGTGGACTCTCATTTACCTTGTCACATCGTTGTGGCCTGACGTTGTCATACGTCATATTTACGTCGCCACAAGATTAAAGTTATTTATGCTAACGTATTGTATGTTGTCTTAACGTTCTATTTCACGTTAGTAGTTAAATAGTTTCCCCAATTGTGAACAGTAAATAAGAAATAAAGCAGAAATTAACTTCAATGTTTATTCGCCAATTTGCATGTTGTTTTAGTTTTATGTTTTCTGAAGCTTAAGTTGAATAGTGAAGAAAGAATCTCAAAGTCTCAAAATGAAAAGTTTTACAGAAAACTATCGTGACACGATGTTATAAGAAACGTTGTTATAACGTTGTGGGGAGCCCAAAGCATCACGTTTCCTCAACGTAAATTTCCATGGTTGTTATTACGTTGTGACATAACGTTATAAAATAACGTATTACTAATGTTGTGACAACGTTGTCTCATGACGTTACCAATCTATAACCTTGTGAAAACGTTGTGTGTTAGCTGGGAAGTAATACTTCAGTATGTGTAGCTACATTGAATATTTTTGCAGGTATTCTGGAAGCGATGGAACAACTTTCACTGTCATCGATTCCTGAAGGTGAGTAATATGTGACTGGGTGTATTATGTGAGTTGTGGTAAGATATGTGATTCATTGAGATGGAAATGATTAGGGAGTTGTTTAAATATAAATGTCGATCAAGAATAATCAGATTCCCCTCAGTCTTGGAGGCAAATTGGTGGTGAAAATATATGAGTGACTGAGTATGGTTAACAATATTCCAGCAATATCACGGAGGGGGGACACCAGAAATGGGCTTTATGCATTGAGCCCATGTGGGGAATCGAACCCGGGTCGAACCCATCGACATGTGACAAATATGCTTCCCATCACTAGTGTTAATATAAGCACTTACTTCAGGCAACTGTTTTAAACTGAATTTTGCAAAATATTCCATACTGTTTAAAGGTACTGTTTACACATGAATTGATGTATTGTAAAACAAATTCGTAACGTTGAAAAGATTATTGTCATGAGTTTAACAAATGATAAAAATCAGTGAAAATTGGCAAATTCTCAATAAAACTTTACACCAAACGCAGCTGTTCACATGGGCGATATTTGCACATGCTTTTCAGCAATGTTATGCATGGTTTCCCAAAGTTAGTGGAGAAATCAATCTTCGATGTAACCATATATATATATACATAACATATAGTGAGTGTTTTAAGTGAGTCTAAACTTTTGATGGGAAGTATATAAGAATGGATCACTGAACATCAGTGATGACATCAGATGTTTGCAGAAGGAGTAAACATAATCTGCCCTTCCTAGTAACACCCGGAACTCATACAAGACAGTACTCCTACCATGAGAGACATCTGGTATCAAGATTGAAAGCACGGAAAGGTGAATTGATTTAGCAAAGAGTAATTATAATGCGTAAGTAGCTGGGACGATTACACACCTTTTTGGATCTGACGTATTTACTTCTGCTATGCCTTAAACTGAATAATTATGCTATGAAATATTCGTATAATGCTTTAATATCGTTTTTATCACAGGTGCACGCCCTGAGAACGTGAACGTCGTAAACCTTATTCGAAATATGAATGTTTCACAAGGAACCTCCCTCGGTGCTGTCGACGATATTCCAGGTATGCGTACTTTCGGATCATAGCCAAAATTGTCCGTGTATACAAAACATGTGTAGAACAACAGTCAGTATATTAGAATGTCCATTGTCTAACCAGAGAAAACATGCACAAATGTCAGTTACATATGGAAGTGTGTACCCGTCTTTATTTATATATTATCTCCTTGTAGATATGGTCAAAAAGAAAAATGAAGTTGGCGAAAGACATTTTTGTGAAAACAGAAGCTTATAGAAATGTCTATGATGCTCTGGAAAACGACGGACATGTGCTTATTTCTGGATCACCTGGGTCAGGTAAAACAACAATGGCACTTTACATCATGGGCAAATACCGACGAAAGAAGTACTACGTGAAATATGTAGATGATGTAGCGCATTTCAAAGTTGAACGTCATACTAATCTCAAAGTTCCAACGCTGCTAGTATTAGATGATGTGTTTGGTCGCTTTGCTCCTACCTCCGAAGTCAAAGTTCATTGTACAAAGATATTGGATTACTTAGAGACACATTTCAAATGCTTGGAGGAAAAGAGGAAGAAAAGACAAAATGATGATGAAAGTAAAGATGACAAGGCATCTGCAACTCCTGAAACCTCTCTAAAGGTTATCATGAGCAGTAGGACAAACATATCCAGGCATCAACTTGTCTCTACTATGTTAAGGAAATACAAAACATCCTTGTTCAGACCAAGCACTATAGCTGATCTCACAATATCTGAGCTGAAAGAACATGAGAAAGAATCGATTCTTCGAAAACATTTGCCCAAAGCGAGATTTGATCTCAGTGAACATGAAATAAAACACATTGCAAGTTTGGAATATAAGACACTTGGCTTTCCATATATCTGTCAGTTGTTTGCAGACGGTTGTTTGTCAAAGGATCAAGCTGTGGTCTTTTTCACGGAGCCGTGGACATATCTGCATGACTTGATAAGCAACATATTCACAGCAGATGATCCCAACTACAGAGCTGCAGTGCTACTGCTTATGGTTCTCAATGATGGGACACTGAATTTGATTCATCTCCAACAGGCTCGTAAGAAAGGAGGGAATGTTGAACTTCGGGAAAAGATAGAAACAGTTGAGGAGATACTTCCAGATGTTGGTCATGCACATCGTCTAAATGAAGCTGCAAAAAACGAGAATCGAACTCTTTTGTTGTCCGAAGGCGACAGGATGACATTTAGCCATCCAACTATCTACGATGTTGTCGCGTTTGTTGTAGGGGACATGCATCCCGACTTTATCCTTCAAAACTGCAGTCTCAAATTTTTAATTGAAAGGACAAAGGTTTCAGAGGATTCCAACTCAGAGGATCCAAGTGGTGGTGATATGCACAGCTTCATGATACAACTTACACAGGAAGATGCAGGTGTTGCACTGGTGGGGAGACTAGCAAGGGAGATCGTTGATGGGAATATTGCTCTTCCATTGTCACATCAATGTTTCACTCTGGAATATATGGCCACATGTCTCTTTTCAAAACTCTTGAGTCATGGCAACATTGAACAATATTTGCATTCTCGAGATAAAGATCATGGAATGGGATTCTTGTACTGGTCATCTTACTCCAGCACTGCTCCTGTAAGCAAACTTTCATTTGAGCATACAACATTTTCTCTTCCTGAAATCCTTGAAGGTTATCTTGGTTGTTGCCTGAGCGGAAACGTGTCTTCATTACTGATACTCATTGAAAACTCAAAGGATAGATTGCACGAAGTTGCCACCATTACTGTTGGAGACATTCTTGGTATCACACAAGAAACAAGACCGTTAGTTCGAACCTTATCAACAGCATGCAGCCCGACCAAAACAGAAGTGCCACCTGAAATTGAAACACCTCGATCGCATGGGGACAACAAAGATATGTTGATTCATATTGCAGCTGCAAATGGCTTCACTGGAGTTGTAGAACTACTCCTTGATAGCGTGGAAACACCCATAGACATCAAAGGAGGAAATGGCATGACTGCGCTTATGTATTCAAGCTACCTCGGGCACAAAGAGTTAACTGAACTACTAATCAACAGAGGGGCAGATCCAGAATTGTTAGATGAAGAGGGTGACAACTGCCTTCACCTTACATGTCGAGGAGGATCTGTTGACATAGCTAAATCCCTAATTGCAGAAAACATGGATATCAACAAACATGGTGAACATGGACGTACTCCACTAATGTATGCCTCATATAATGGGCATGAACATATTGTGAAACTCTTATTGGGGAAAGGAGCATTGCCAACTCATGATGTATCATCTATTGACCAAAAAGACAACAGCCTCCATCTTGCATGTAAGAAGGGCGAAATAAGAATTGTGCAGATTTTTCTTGATCAAGCCAAAGTAGACATTGAATCGAGGGGTGAGCGAGCCCGAACCCCACTGATGTATGCTTGCAGACATGGACAGTTAGAAACTGCCAAGGAACTAGTAGCTAGACATGCAAAAGCCAATGTCCTGGATGAAACAGGCTTTTCTTGCTTACATCTTGCAGCCATGAAAGGGCATGTACCCACCGCTGAATGGCTCATCTCCTCAGATCAAGGAATCGTTGTTGACTGCACTAACGACACAGGGAGAACACCCTTGATGTATGCAATAAGGAATGGCCATGTTGACATGGTACATTTTCTTATTGCACAGGGTTCTGACATATCGGTAAAAGATGATTCAATGGTCTCTTCTCTGCATATGGCTGTACAATCTGGGAGGTGGCCTTTGATGAAACTCTGCCTGGATGAAGGTCAAGATGTTAACGCATGTTCAAAAAGTTACCAAACCCCAGCCATGCGTGCTTGCAGACTAGGAGATTTGAACCTTTTGAAACGTTTGGTGGAGAAAGGAGCCAATGTCAATTTGGGGAATGGTTGTCTTTATGCTGCTTGCATTGACGGTAGCCTTGAAATAGTTGAGTATCTTTTATCAACTTTTCCTAGTATAGACATCAACAAATGTGGCCCCCAAAACAGGTCCGCAGTTATGACAGCAAGCTTTTATGGTCACACTGATGTTGTAGAGTATTTGCAGTCAAAAGGTGCAGATATCACACGCAGAGATCAGTATGGACAGACATGTCTTCATGTGGCATGTCGCAGTGGTCATATAAAAACAGCAGAGCGGTTGCTGCAGACATTTCCTATTGATGAAAAGGAGAGCAATGGCATGACGCCGTTTATGTATGCCGTCAAAGAAAATTACTTTGATATGGCTCACTTCCTTGTTGAACATGGTGCAGACATAAATGTTCAAAACAATCGTGGCCAAACATCTCTCCATACTTTAGCATGGTTTGGTAATGCAGTTGGATGTGCCAAACTACTTGATTTGGGTATGCACGTTGATATCCTTGATTCTACCAACAGAACCCCCTCTCATGTGTGTATTAAAGAACTGGGATGATCGAAGTGAGGTTATCAACATTCTTCTTGAACGAGGCGCAGACATCAACGTAAGAGATCCAAACGGCAACACATGCCTGCACATTGCTGCGGCATCTGGCGGTCCCATTGCCAAAGATATCAGCGTAGAGAAATCCAAACTGCTTGTTGAAAGGGGCCTCGACGTCAATGCTCAGAATGAGCATGGTGTGACTCCATTAATGTGCGCTGCAAGACAGGGAGACCGGGCTGTAGTAGACCTCTTGATAAATTCAGGAGCGAACCTAAAAGCAACTGACCTGAGTGGCCATGATTGCATCAGGCATGCTAAAGACCATGGGCATTATGATCTTGCTGATTATATATCTAAGTTATGAGAGATGTCTTCGTGAGCACAGGATTGATTGAACTGTTGTCATATCGCACAATCTCAGTTGAAATTGGTGACATCCATTTCACAGAAACCCCTTTACACTACGCCATGTGCGAGTGAAACATATCAACGATACATGTATTCATCTGCAAGAGCAAAGCCGCAAAGGTGATTCTATAACCCCGAACTTAAAAGACATTTCATTCACCCAATAACTTGACAACTAATGGTTTGACCACTTTCTCTGACTAACGTTGAGCTGCAGTGGAAATTTTGATTATGATATTTTGATGTTTGTAACAACGATGGCAATTAAAAAATGTTCAAACAATAACTTGAAAAGTATTGGTCGCAATGTTTTGAAATTTGGAAAACAGCTGCTTTGTCTAAAGGGAAATGCAGTGAAAGTTTAGTTTCTATTTTCTAATATTTGAAAGAGTTGCTTCAATTTACATATTTTGAACCCCACATGTATTGAAACCCCAAGGGAATGTTTGTTCAACTAAAAACATTTTAATGGATTGTTTGGATATCACCGTCTATGTCTGTAGGAGAGGTGCGTGCAAAGATACATTTTGACATTTTCAACTTATCAAGAATTATCATAAATTACTATCATTTAATGGATTGTTTTCTGAATGGGGCAATGACGTCTTTGTTTACAGGAAACGTACAGTGCAAAGTTATATTTTGATATTATATTTTAGTCAAGAATAATCATTATTAGGTGTTGTTCAGCTGAAGTTGGGAGTCACGGTCGGGGATATTAGTGAGCCATGCTCGCATTTGTTTGCTTGTTTCACTTAAATTAGTACGGAAACACCTGTCTGTAATGACAGTTTAATGGTCTATGTTTGTTGCCTATGTTTACTAAGTTGTCCAACTGTTTTGCCGTACCTGTGGCACCCATCACAAACACATACAAATGCTTGTCATGTGTTCGCCAGAAACAATACAGGGAACATGTACTACAAATCACAAAAAGAAATTGCACCAGTTGGTGTAATTTTGGTCACTGGGCGTCAGATTGGGAAATATCCACCATTTATTCATACAGCACCTTTTGAAAGTTTCTTTGAGGCCCTGAAAGTTCTAACCCGGATTAAACCTTTTTGAGCAAGTGTAATTTTCGTACTTTAAAAGAGCAAGCTAGATTGTAGCTAATAAGCGTGAAAGGAAGATACCCCAGGCATAAAGAGAGTCGCCTATTGCAAAATTGAAGTTACCCTTCTCGTCATACAGACAGTTAAGTGTTTTTGTCTCTCTGAAGCTTTATAGATAGTACTAATTATGAAACGGACGAGGTGGTTTCATTGGTCTTGTATTTACAGCTTATGTCGGTTAATCAGTGGAAGGACTATTTGGCCACTACTGAACGATATTACATCATCGATAAACCTGAAACTCAAATTATACTTTCAGTTTTCCTTGAGTGAGTTGCCCATACTATTAATTAGGGACACCTGGTCATGTGACAGTTGCTTTGTTTCCCCAGCCTCACTCTCAGTCTAGCAATATATTCATATAACAACTTCCTGAACGATAAAGACTACAAATGGTTATTTTGTATATTGTTCATATCTTTGTTGGAATTTGAAAAGGAAAATGCTAATATCATAAGTGGTGCTTGTTTTGTCAGTGTGCTCGACGTTGCTGGTTTCCAAATATAAAATCATTCTTGTTTAATGCCATATATATTTTGTTTTGGGTATGTTCGTACTTGGCATATAGCTGCTGTATTCACTGTGACTGTTCACTAGTTCAATTTGAAACAAAGTGTATTCACACAATGGACACACACAGAGAGTATATCAAATGGTATATCTTAGTGAGAAATATGGAAATGAATAATTTTCTTTGGTGTACTTATAAATTCATTAGATTTTTATGTGTTTCAGAAATAAGCCATTTTGTTTGTGTATATCGTTTCAGTACCTTGTGACGGGGCTGTGGCATCACTTGCATCATACCCCAGTGGGTTCCTGTACTAGTGTTGCAAGTAATGATACCTTGATCCCCCCTTGCAGAGATTCACACAAGTATCAGTGTGCTTGCATGTTAGATAGGTTACCCCTTTGAAAGAATTAGATTGTACTACTAGGAGCCCTATTCATTTAGGTGTAGGTTCAGGATGTTTGAAGAAAGGTACTTGTATATATCCTCTGCTAGCAGAGATTTTCATTTGTATCTTTATTCTTAACTATGAATTGTTTACGAAAATGAAGTTTAGTAAAGTATAATCATGTGACCAGTCATGTGACTTTGTAGCGACAGGGGTCGCTATCTTCGGTTATGCTCAGTGTACAGTGTTTGAATATGAAGGAAGTGTTTGAATAATGGAGGAGTTATCTCCCTTTATATGTTGATTGTGACCGGGAGTACATTAGAAGATTAGATATTTGTTTCAAATATATCATGTAATTGTCATTTGAAATTCAAATAAATGCTTTTAAATGTATTTTTGTTGTGTCATGACAGGTCACAAATGATGTACGTTTAACTAAATGGTCATTTTTAACCATCAATCCTCATTATTAACGGGTTATGAATTCGTTAGGGTTGTGTATTGTTTTTAATTGCAGAGGTGTTGTCGTACTATTTCTGTGGATGGTGTTGCTCTTATGCATTGGATGAGAACATGTTCGATGTCTGATTTGGTATCATGTTTAAGGGTACAAATGTTGTTTTAGCATGTCTTATATGCCTGAAAGTCCTGGTTTCCGAGATACAGTATGTGTTTACTGTTCACCCAAGAGATGATAAACGTGGTCTTTGTATATAATATTATGATGACTGGTTTATACTGTAGTGTTTCTTCATTTGAACCTGAATTACCCAGGAATAAATTCTCCTACTGCATGTCTTGACTTTCTTTGATGGATATTATATCAAGATATTTGTTCCCACAAAACTGTTTACGCAAAAAGTGAGTGATTGAGCTAAAAGTCACAGTGGCAGTATTTCAGCCATATCGTGAAATATATGCCTATGATATAAACTGCTGTGATCAAAGGACTGTAAATTTGCTAGATTATCACAGGTTGTTTTTAAGACTAGCGTGTAATCAAAAAACGACATAATTTTAAAGGTAGATCATATAACTGCATGGCCACAAGCAGGATTTACATACTGCTTATGCAGTCCTAATTCCCACTGTACTGTATAAACACTTCCTTATATTTGAATATATGTTTTTCTATCCTTAGTCTGCTCATCACTCGCTTGATAACGGTGTTAGATAGAGCCAAAAGGTCGCTCTCACTGTAAAAAAGAAGTTGTACATTCATATATTACTATCCTTCCTTACTGCTCCAACTTGTAATGCCTCTCAAGGAAGTTAGGATTACTGACTGACTGACTGAGTTTGGTTTTACGCCGCTTTTAGCAATATTCCAGCAACATCACGGTGGGGGACACCAGAAATGGGCTTCACACATTGTACCCATGTGGGGATTCGAACCCGGGTCTTCGGCAAGTTAGGATTAACATCATCCCTTTAGATGTTGGCGATTATTGACAAATTCAGCCAAGTTAAAGAAGCATGTAATCTGCGATTAAAACCAAGGCAGAAATAGTATGCTTAAAACATTCCTGCTGCCTTCGACGAAATAGACCCAAACAGCCTTGCAGGCATATTGTTTCATGTCTTCCGGTATATTCCCATTCCCTGAGACAACATTGAAAAATCGGAGAGGTAACTTGTGTTCTTAATAAGAATCACATGGTTGTATGTTTTGTTAAAATCTCATAAATATCAAGTAATAAGTGTTATTTTAAGAAATATATTTGTGGACGTCATGAAACATCTTCGGGTTCCATGGTATTTCTTGGTCGCGCTGGGTGTATTTGTCACGTTGTTTTCGGTGCCTGAAGGGAAGTACAAAGTTAGAATTTTCTCTTAACCAGTCAGGTTTCTAACAAACAAACACAAGCCTAGCACAAGCCCTACAGATGTGATGCTCCCAGTGACGCTTGGATGATCCCAGTGACTATTCCCTCATGGGTTTACGTGCATTGATCACAAGTATCATGGCGATGGACGTAGCTTACACATGTGTAGTATCATGTGTAGACTCATTCTCTTTATGTCAAACATATTATCAACAAAATATGAATAAAACATATTTTCATTCTGAGTGACTGGATTTTAGGATTATATGTTCTCACAAGCATTTGAACAGAACACAGGAAAACAGCACGTGTGTTAACTGCTAACGTACATTTAGTAAGGGTGGCTAAGGGTGGCCCAGTTGTCTGTGTAGTTTTGCGTACGTTGACAAACATTGTTGTGAGATTAGAATCCGGTTTGGACAGATTATGTTTCCGAGGTTTCCTAGGGTTTCAACAAACTGATATATGGACAACAATTCAGACTTTGTTTACATATGAACATTTTCTGTAACACAATATAAACTAAATCAACCATCATACTAAAACATGTTTATATAACTTACTTAAATAACTGTTAAATAACCATGGATGTATGATCTTAGAATAGTCTCTGGTACAGACCCTGAAGCAAATATATCCAAGAAAGCCCACGCAAATCTAGAAATGTGGCAAGTCTAGATTTCCACAGCTTCATTCTGAAAATGAAGAAAGTCTCAGGGCTCCTTTTCATTATATTTTGTTTGTTTTTTTACTATGAACATTTTTTTTCAGTAAAATATGTTCATTTCAGAGACTAGTTGTTAGTCTAGATCTTAGAACTGTATACTTCTTTTAAGTATTGTCTAAGTTAGTTTCTGTGCACTGAACTTTGGGCTTGTTGCCAACATAATT